TCTAACAATTCTTTCGATGATTGAGTAATAGGGCGCACCATAATTTAAAGCGACTTTCAAAAAGAGGTTGGTCCTTTAACAGCATATGAAACTTATATTTTGTAGCAGGTGGTGAATTATATAATTTGGTAGCTAAGATTGCAAAGACCATCTCTATGGACTACTTATGGAGAAGCTTGTTACCCTTTAATGTCATGTATGCATACTACTCTTAAAGAGACCGATCCAAATTATATGCTTTGATGACAAATAACTACTAGCAAGCCGTCGACCTAAAATAGTGACTTTACAAAGGAGAAGAAGCAGAATAAGGGAAATATATTTGAATTGCTCAAAAAAATGTGAGTCTCAAAACTAACTAGGGTATCTACTGTATCAGTTTAAGGAGATACCCAAATTGTTCCTTGTGATCTCCATTTTACAAGATTATGAGAGTTAATGCAAATAGTACTCTAATAATGTTACACCCATTTTGACAAGTATATGATCTACAAAGAATAAATGTTAAAAAAAATAACTAGCAATAGACATACATCTAAACTTTATGTTGGAATATAAAATACAACCTATAATATCCTGCAGCATGTTCCCAATCACTCTCCCAATCTTCTACTCAATAACTTCTTTTCATGTACTCCATAGTGATGAACACCACCATTACCGCTCTATGTGGTGGAGTATCAGAGCACAGATCATCAGCAAAGCTTCTTACCCACCAGATCCCAACGACAACAACTCAATTAGTGGAACACCTGATGACCGCTTGAGCATACAATGCGGCCAAATAGTATCAGAATGACGTCAGCAATCAAGAGTGGCACCTCCAGACAAAAATGATCATCTTCCAGCGTTAGCACGTAGTCATATAGAGCCAAGTCAATAATTAACTCTCTACTCTTCACCAAATACTGTTCAACCCATTAACTACCACTATCTGCATTCGGTTTTCCCTAGTCTGCAGTGTTATGTGTATATATGTAGTTATGGTTTTTCTTGTTATTTCTTGTTTTATTTTTTGTCTTTATCCTTATTTATTTTCCTTTATGGTTATATCAGAAGGGGTATTAGTATGTTGATATAAGATTTTCATAGCCTATATATATAAATTTGGTATTTTTAGCTCAATTAATTAATTTTTATATATTTTCTATTATGCTTATTTCTTTTATATATGTAAAAAATTAAAAATAAAAACATCTCCCTATTTTCAGAAGAACTTACTTAGTAAGGGGGAAATTATGAGGAAATAAAATAAATATGACAATTTAGTTAATAATGTTTACTATCATAAAAAGGGGAGATTGTTGCAATCTAGAATCTTGAGCTTAAGATTTTGATGATAATAAATATTATTGGATTGCTACTTTATTTTCTTAGTATTATTATTGCATACCTTTTGTGTGAACATTAAACATTTTAGGTACACTATATACCATTAAACAAAAGATTGACTCAATTCTAGTTAGAATATGTTTGATATTTTTGAATAGTATATATTTTTATTTATTTATTTTTAAGTTTCTTGAGTCAAATATCCTATAAAAGGTTCATACTAGCTAAGTGACCGTGCACACACGCACTAGGAAGCAAATTTTTTATTTTTTATTTATTTCAATGAAGTTTGTAATGTATGATATATATTGCAGTAAAATTTTTAGATAAAATAGGGAATAATTATAATATTTAATTGAGAAAATTTAAATTTGAACTAATTATATTACATGATCTAAATCGTATAGGATGATTTGTAGAAATTAAAAACTCTGATGCCAATCATAAATTAGTTAATATTTTTAAATTCAAACATAAAAATAGTCATGTAGTCTATTATGATCATATTGGATGATGTAGTTAAGTTTTACCTAATATAATCATATAATTAGGAAATTAAATTTAATTTAATTGTGATTTCATATCATACTATACGAAGTTCAAATTTGTATAGTACGTCTTGATTAGCTCCAGTGAAAATGTTTATCCACCAGCCATCGTAGGAGAATAAAATCCTATTTGATTGAACTAATCATATTTTATGACCCTTGATATCATAACAGATGATCAATTCAAATATTTGAACTAATCATACAAGCCCTTGTTCATCTTACACAACTAAGAGGATGTATTGAGTTAATTGTACTGTATAATCCATTATCGTATTGTATAATAAGAAATGACTAACTAAAAAATTTGGATTTTTTGGAAGCCTTGTATTTAAATTGTCTCAAGAGACTCTAGAAGAGTCTTTTGGTTGTTTAGAGAATTCTGTGGGAGGGCTTTGTGAGAACTTTGTTTTCTTGAGAGATCATGGTGTTTTGAAAGGAAGAGGGGGAAAATGTGTGTGTGAGAGAGAAGTAGATTGAGGGGATTTCGCACAGTTGCTCTATGCAAGCTTTTACCTAAGTTCCTCTGTTTCTTCAATGTTCTTGATGGAATCCTTGGCGGGAAAGTCTTCATGGTTAAAAATCATAGGTTCTCCGCATCATTAAGAGGGTGAAAAAGATTTCAAGTTCTTTGCCTCACCAGAAGTGTGAAATGGATTCCATGTTCTCTTCCTCACCAGGAGGGTGGAAAAAATTTATGGCTCTCTATCTCACTAGGAGGGTAAAAGGATTTAGGTTCTCAACTACACCATAGAAAGGTGTACGTTATTTTGTAAGGGATTCTCTGCCTTGATGTCAGGCCTAACTTGAGGCAATAAAGATTTAGTACGATAACCAAATAGGAGGACTCTAGAGAATGAACATAGGTCAAGTTTGACCGAACTGCTATAAAATTTCTGGTGTGCTCATTTGATTTTCTTTAGCACTTTTATTTTCTACATTTTAATTTTTATAATTTTATCATTTTAAAATTATTGATAACCATGCTATGATTATTTTCAACAGATTTCTATGAGTAAGGAAAAAAAATAATGAAATAATAATATTTTTCTTTTCATTTTTATAACATAAAAACTATTTATAAATTTTATTTTGTTCATTGTTATTTTCTTCCCCTTGTAATTTTGTTTAACATCATTCGTAAAAAGGAAAAGTTTTGAGAATGAAATGTTTAAATAACTAATTCAACACCCCCCTTTTCCCCCTATCTATTGGTGTCCATAGGGTAGTTTAACAAGGTTAAATAGCCTCTTTTGAACATTCATGTGAAACCCATGCTGAGACAAAGAAATAAGATTGAGATATAGAATCACCAATTAAGTTGACCAGGGAATGACACATCTCTAAGGCATTCTATACTAAAACTAATTAGTTATTGTATTATTTATTGATTGATTAATTTATCCTTTTTTATTGCATTCAGATTCTTATAAAAAATCATAAAGGGGGAAATTTTAGATCTTTTGGTATTTTTTTTATAAATACTTGAGCAAGTTGATTATTTCTAATAGTGTTTTTCCCTCTCTTTATCTCCATCCCCACACATATTCTAAGGTTGAACTACTAAAACTCGCCTTTGTCTCCTACTTCTAAACTTGTATCTAACATCCTAAAATATGCAGCAAATGCTGATTGATGTTAATGACTAGAAGACTTGTGGAGCATGGTAAGCTAACACATTTCAATTCATTAGTGAAAATAGAAAACCTAAACTACACTACTAGTTGTGATCTAATGAAAATCGAAGAAAGATTGACTAAAATAATCCTAGATAACATAGTCTGGAAACTAAGGTGTGTGTAGAGGGAGTTCACCTCATAAAGGTTATCTGACTCAATAGTTCATTATAAAATGCTAGATAATATAGTGTTCACTTCAACACCTATTACAAACCTGACTTGTACAATGATGATAGATGATTATTATAACCCACCTTCTTAGTGTGCTAAGAGAACTTAACTTGGATTGATGAATTATTCCTCTTGGGAGATAAAGGCTACCTCAAAAGCTTAAAGTGGACACTTAGAGTCCTATATGGGAAGGATTAATTAAATGAATCATGTTAAATTAGGAGTCTACCTCGTGATCAATAAATTCCTCAACTGGTTTGATGAATGAATCCAGCTCTAGGGCCTCTGAATCTCTCTCCCTTCTTTCACTATCATCCATCTCCTCTCTTTCAACTTCTCGTTCTCATTCTTTGAAAGTTGAGTGGGGTCAAGTGGATGGAATATATATATATATATATATATATATATATATTTAATATGTCTATTAGCATCCATACATTTTTAATACTCAGCGTATTGCACTGCTTCAGCACAGCTTCATATCACTCTATAAGAACATTATGGATGCTACTAGACATAGAGCTTAGTGCCTTAGTTCCATCTATATCCACGCCATAAAGCTATGTTGGAATGTTCTAGATGCTCTCGAATAGAGCGTTTAGTGCCGCAGTGCTGCCCATATGACAATTGTAGCGCCCCCACAAACTTTTGGACACTTAAAACATATTATATCCGGCTTATGTAAAAATTTTTTAAGCAATGCATATAGCATCTTTTATTAAATAAAGGGAAATACAATCTAAGTGATAGCTAACCTATCACAATCTTCCTTTATCAAATTGATAAAAAGAGAATTAAGATCATTATGAAAAAAGTCACAAAAGAAGCTGCCTTCTAAAGCATAGGTTACACAAAAATCCGCAACCTTATTCTTCTCTCTAGAAACACAATGAAAAATAATCCGCTTAAAATCATAAAGAAAAGATAGATCTAAAGAGGAAGGATTTGCATTGTTAACCAAAGATAGAATTAGATATGAACTTTTGTTATATAGATTTAAATTAGAATTTGACTCTTAATATGACACAATCGAGAAAAAAGATTTATGTAATCGACCTCACATACTGAGATAAATTCTTAGATGTTATTGTTGTTGTATATCTACAATATAACATATTCTATTTCAGTTTTTTTCAAACAAAATAAATTAATTCTCTCCTATCCATATTCCTTAATAAAGACTGATGAGAAGAGCTTGCAATTGGTATACAAGATTAAACTACAATTAATAAACGTCATACATAATAATAAATCAAAAGGGTTTTACACATATTAATAAATGAATGAATTACATGATTACAAAATTACATCATCAAACAGCCTAAGCTATTACCAGCTTCCTTGATATTTTTACCAATATTTGATATCATGTGTGGCTAATGAACAAGAAAAGTGACGAGGAGGGCGACAAGCATCAGAAAATAAGCAATTCCTAGGTCGATTGCCTTCCCGTCAATCCATCGAGATGGAGCATTCTTCGTCATCTGCCCATGAGCAATTTCCATTAGAATCGACAAGAAAGCAACAAGGAACATTGAAGCTGCCCTCAATGAACTCATTTTCAAAATTATTGCAAATCAACCGAAGCGAAGATTGAATGAAAGCTTCTTCTTCTATAGAAACAGAAGCAGCAGAAGAAGCAGCAGATGAGTTTGTATGTTGGGAGGAGATGGCTTAGATAGATGGCTATATGTAGAGAACAAAAAGAGGATGACGTACTCCGGACGCAAAGGCATAGTGTCATTTCGTTTGACCAGGAATTTTATCTTTGCTCAATTACGCGGGCGGCTCCACATGATGTGGGAACGGTCGGAATATAACGGTTATTTTAATCAATTCCATGAACGCCGTGTCAATTTTACCTTTTTTATTTCTAAGAAGGTTTCAGCAGCTTCAAATTTCTGACCTTCGTAATTATTGGTTGTCTTAAAAGACTATTCCAGGCCGTAGGCAGTAAGTCGTGGATAAGTATATGAATTGTCCGAACAAGCAATTAGTGCCAACCTAGTTTAAATTTAATAATTGATTAATTTAGCTCATGTGATCAAATTCATATTTTTTTTGGGACATTTAGATCAACTAAAGAAAATTTATACACACATCATATACATAAGACTTGAACTCAAGACCTTATATTTTAATGTCAAAGCTCTCAACTAATAGATCAAGAAGAGGCACGCGCCCGAGCTACTTCCATAAAGTATATTTTCTCCAACTTGGGCTTGACATATCCAATTGCACATTCTTAAGAGTTTTTTTTTTTGAAGAAATGCAATTATTACATTAAAATAAAAGAAAAAACAACCTAATACAAACTATAAGGAAGAAACTAATGGTTCCTTTATCAACATGAAAAAGAAACCATATTGAAAACAATTTGTTAAAGTAAACTTATTATAACTGAAATGAAACCTACTATTTCCTATTTTAAAACCATTGAGATGCAGGGGATACAAAAGTTTTAAACATCCCGAGGGTTGGTTAGTATCACAGAGTTCCCACCCGGTTAAAGAATAGGACTTAGTATCGATATCCCATAAACAATTAGAATAAGTTTAAAAAACAAATAACAAACTAAAAGAAAAAATAAAAAGCTAAAAAGGAAAATACAAGTTATCAGTAATTTCCAAAAATCACCTAAGAATATCACTGAAAGATATTCCATAAGCTTTCTCCAACTTCGAAACCATAATTCAAAAATAGTATTATGACAAACTCTTTAATAAATTGCTCCATCTTCAAATATCTTTCAACTTTGTTGATAGCAAAGATAAAACCAGCTTGCATATTAACGATATAATGGAGAAGAACCTCTCATATCATTCTTCATTTTGAGTTAAGCCAATCTTCTTCTAGGTAGATCTTTCACCGGTCCTAAGGCTTGAAGTTCTTTGAACAGTATATGCCTAGAGCTGGGAGAACCACTCATCTTGCCATAAAAACTTTTTTCTTTCTTAAGAATAGTCTTTTTAACATTCAAACTAATTGCAGAAGAAGGAGAATTATAGATAAAAAAAGGAGAATTATCTCTCAAACCAACAATACTATCTTCTATTTCAGAAAATCTTGCTGAATTAGTAGTAGGAGAAGTTGAATGTTCAACTACTACCTTAGATTCAGGTGCATTTAAAGGAGGTAGCAATTATGCTTCAGAATTAATAGCATCCTTTTGTACCTCCTGAATATCTGAAATTTTGAATTCAAAATCTGATTTATGAGCTCTCAACAGATCAGCAATGATTTCAGTAGAAACAGCTTCCAATAGATTAGCATCATTACAAACACCTCCCTTAAATTCATCCACAATTGTAGAGTTTTTGAATTTAGAATTTGAATTTTGTTTGAATCCATTCTCTAATTCATAATCTCCCATTAGATCAGCCTCCAAAATATGTGCATTACCAGCAGCTCCCAATGGATCAGCTCCCAAAGGATCAGCCACAAAAATTGGGAATTCATAGTTGAAATTTTGAACGGCCAGAACCGACTCCACAACAAAATCTGAAGACTTGTTAGCCTCCTTAACTACCTCCAATATTTGTGGGATTTGAATTTCCAAATTTTTAGCAATCATTGAATGATCCACTGAATAACCTACATTATGTAATGGATAAATCACCAAACCGGAATCAACACTAATAGCCTTATTTTCTGTAACCAATGCTAGTGACTCCAAATTTGAATTTTGAGCTATGATCAGCTGAACAATGAAGTCTAATTCATGGCTAACAGCACCTTCATCTTCTTCCTTAACTTCATCATCTTCATAAGCTGCCAATGGATCAGCAAGAATACCTGAACCAGCCCTAACTTCTTCTACACCTCCTTCCAAGAGTTTTGCTTTATTAAAAACACCCTCTAATTTTCTTTTCCCTGAAAAAACTTTGTAATCAACTTGTTTTTTTTTTTCAGAATTTTTCCTATATTTGTTCTTGAACTTCACATGCATCAAAGGCTCATATGGATTATCTTCATTTTGAACTAAACTGGAAGAGACATCTTTAATAAGCTTATGAGATATATTTGGAGAAACAGAATCTATATGTCCAATTCTCCCACATTTGTAACAAAATGATGATAGATTTTCATATTCAAACTTTTGAAAAAATCTACCATGAAGACCTTTAACCCAAATACCATAAGGGAGTTTAGAATTCAAATTAACCTGAATACAAGCTCTAGCAAATTCCCTTCTCCCACATCTAAACATGTTACCATCCAATAATAAAGGAGTTTCAATTCTAGAAACAATTCTAGTGATATTGGATTCATCCTAGCAATATAAAGACAAATGAGGAAGACAAACTCAAATAGGAGAAGAAATCCCATCCAAGGAATTAGGAGAGAAGTTACGAGACCATTTGTCTAAACCTACAACGAATACCCCTACAAACCAAGGACCACCATTAAGAACTTCCTCCATGGCTTCATGTGACTGAAATGAACAAAGCAACCAATCTAGACCAAGCAAGGTTATATGAAACCCACCATATTTCATCCATTGCTTTCTTAATTCAATTGCACACTTAGAAAAAGGAAAGTTTTTCCTACGAATTTTCACAACCAATGAATTGCTCAAAACTTGAACATTAGATTTTTCCTTTTCCAAGTCAAGTTTGAAAACATTTGCTTCTCCTCTATCATCTTGAATTTCACTAAAATTTATTTTAATGTGTGGTTTTTTGATCAACACATTAGAATTTTCCAATTTTGATGAAGTAATTGTATTAACATTACCTTGTCAATCTCCTTATCATTCTTCACTATATCAGCAAAACTACAACCATATGAGGAAGCCTCCTTATCATTTGCTCTAGAGATGATAACCGACAAAGATGATTTTGGTTTATCATCCAAAACTGAAATTACCTCTTTCCCTTTGCCTAAAACCGGCAAAGGACTATGCCTAGCAATCAAACCTCCCTCTTTGATAACTAGAGGAGATTCCAAAACCCAAAAAGGGGAGAAGCATTTTAAGGAGAATCTACCTCTTGTATCCAACATAATTGGACTCGCGGTAGATAGAAAAGATTTGGTGTTCCGGACATCTTTGGATGACCGACCACCTTCTTCCATCTCCAACTTTGCACCAAAAACCTCCAAATTCTCCATCAAAATCCTCCTTATTTTATGGACCTTCTCTCTCTTCACTCTTCACCCATCCTCTCAAGGACAATCTTAAGAGTTAGGGCTAGCCTAATTTATGAGAAATTTGAGTTGCCTTTTTAGTTTACTAAGAAATTACTATTATTTCTTTAGCATCTACGAAAACATTCTTGCTTTGAGGCTACAAAATTGTCGCATTCTGCGATATATTTTTGCTTCTTGAGAACAAAAAAATCTTGAACTCTCCTAAACTACTATTAAAATTATATATCAAATGATCATTATCGTGCAAGGCTTTGTTTGAGATAACTTTCTTAATATTTTCTAAAGCACATTTTAAATAATTTTTTTTTGAAATTAGAAATTTTTGTAATGAAAATTGTTTTAAAAAATAATAAAAAATGTCCAAAATGAAGTCTAAAAGATTATAGATACTTTGATGATGAGTACCAATTATATATTCTACTTTACTAAGAAGAAGGAAATATTTAGTGTTGGTGAATTTAAAATTGTAATAATAGTAATGAGCAATAAAGTTCTGACAATAGTTGATGAAGGCAAAATTTTAAATTTAATGAAAACATTAAAAATTAATTTGTCAATAATAGAAACTTATATTGGAGAAAATCCTAAACAAAGGAAAATTATTAGAAAAGAATGTAAAAATATATTTATTGAATTTTTATTGATCTTCAAAAGGTATATATTTGAGTGTTTTAAAATTATATTTTGTGCATTAATTTGTATAAGTATTGTTAGGAAAAACTATGCAATTAAACAAGAAAGAAAAAGAAGAAAATAGTAAATTAAAACCAACATTTAACATAGAAATAACTAAAATGGGAAAAAAACTATGGAGTAACACCATATGAAGAACTTGACAATAAAATTTGAGAGAAATTGTATAAATCTCTCTCTCTCTCTCTCTCTCTCTCTCTCTCTCTCTCTCCCTCCCTCCCTATTTTAACTCTCTTCACTTCCCTGTTCATTCTACACTCAAAACAAACAAAGCGATATTTTTTAAAACACCAAAGGATGCAACCCTTTAAGTGAAAAAAGAAAAACAAGAAAAAAAAACCGCAACCCAACTCATCACACCCTGACGTTGAAGTTTGCAGTGCTGCGACACTTCACACTTTGTTTCTGAGTCCAACCTCCGACGTTGTAGCATTGAATCCTGCAAACACTATAGCGCTATGCTCTTTATCTCTAATTAGAGACTACAACACCATAGTGACACTGAAATTAAGGTCTAAGATATATTCCAATTGATAAACATAATCTGATTCCACATAAAACTAGCAAGTAACTGTCACTTTTTTAGATATTGTATTAGAGATAACGTAGAGTTACAAGTAGACTAGTTAATTTTATTGAT